CAGTATACCTATGATGGAGGGTATTCAAAGTCCTGCCCGGCCGAACTTAAGTCTTTTTTCACTTGTCTAAATTAACACTTTTTTGGTCTTTGAAAAAATATTTTTAAATACACATCTAGGAAGCTACATCATTTTTTAAATCATCGCTTACGAAATCCTCTTTTAAGAATTTTTTACTCTGTTTTATCACATCTGTGCGTGAATTTAATACATTTTATGGAAATGTATCGAAAAATAACAACAACAAAAACAGTAAACAAAATTGAGATAATAAAGCCGAGAGTGTCAGTGACTTAATCCTTTCGACCAATGGTGACAATATCGCTGCGTGTTTTTCGGGATTCTTTTGTTTAAGGTATTTTTTATATATTTTTTTATTATTTGCTTGCAGTAAATACCACTATAATAACACATTGTTGTTGTGGCTATCATACACACACGTACACACTAACAGATTTATATGCATTGCCATGGGGACTGATATTAAGGTATCAAAAACAAAAATAAAGAATGCAACGAGTCAATATAAAAATTTAATCATTGATTCAGAGTTGTATTTCACCCACCACCGCTTTAAATAAAGTCCGATATCCTTTTTCCAACTACATACAAACACCACATATATATATATATATATATATATATATATACACAAACAGTCCATAGAATACCTAGAGGTTTCCTATACTCTGCCTTAAGACCAAGAGATTTTGTATACGCTGTGCCAAATTTCGCGCAAATCGAAAGATATATAAGGACGAAAATATATGTGGGAGCTAAATCTGAAATCTAACCATTGATTCAGAGATGTATTTCACACCCTTCGAACCCACCACCGCTTTAAATAAGGTTCGATATTGTATATTTTTTCCAACTACATACAGACACCGCAGGTACACACACACACACAAACAGTCTGTAGAAAACCTAGAGGTTTCCTATACTCTGTCTTAAGACCAAGAGATTTTGTATAGTCCATTGAAGACCCAGATGTCAGCCATAGTCCATAGAAGAACCAGAGGTCTCCTATACACCATAGAAAATCATCGAAGACCTACAGATCTTTTATAGTCTTAAGGTGATCTATAGGTCTCTTATTGTCCTTGAAGTCCTAGAGGTTTCCTACAGTCCTTAGAAGACCTACAGATCTCATATTATCCAAAGTTGACCCACAAGTTCTCAATGGCCCATCGAAGTCATAGAGGCCCTTTATAAAGATTATCCATAGGTCTCTTATTGTCCTTGAAGTCCTAGAGGTTTCCTATAGTCCTTAGAAGACCTACAGATCTCATATTATCCAAAGATGATCCACAAGTTCTCATTGGCCCATCGAAGTCTTAGAGGCCATTTATAATCCATAGAAGGACTGGAGGTCCTTTATAGGCCATAGAAACACTAGATGTCTCCTATTGTTCATAGAACTATAGGTCACCACAGAAGTCGTATGATTTCCTCAGATTTTTAAACCATGAGATTTTATCTGTGTAGTATCGGCGCAGATATGTCGAAAATATATATTTAACTTCCCAAAAGTGTCATAATCCCTTTTGTTTACAGACATAGAAACCATAACATTGTGAATATTTTACAAATGGCTTACATAGATACCTACTAACTCACATACACATTCACACACTCACACAACTACATCTACCACACATTTTAATATTTTGTAAGAATATTTCAAATCACATTAACAATTTCACAATTTAACTACCATACAGACAAACGTCTACATCCCCTTTCCTCCTCCCTCCACCAACCCTACTTGAAAGCCACACTCTAATTAATGTTTAAAATTAATCATCATTAATGTGTTATAAGCACTTAATTTATGTTATTCTCTCAACGTCTCTCTAAGTACGCAAAGAGTAACAGCAAAGAGTGGGCGGGGTTGGGTGATTGGTTTCGATTTTCGTCACTCATCTAATAGGATAATTATTAACAGCTTAATGGTTGTGGGGGTAGGAGAGGGTGTACGGAAGGGCACCAGAGTGGATTTTGAAATGCAAGAAGTGCCAAACCAAAAACCAATATCTTTAATTATGACAACGAAAATTTAAATACACACAGACATACATATACACATTCCCATCCATATATTAATATGTGGTAATGCAACAGCAACAGACAAAGGCTATGCCTCTTTGTGGAAATACCACCGTCGACGTCCGCAGTGACATTAATTAATTTCGATTTTGAATATTTTCGGTTTTTGGGTATGCGCGATTCATGATCTACTTAACATCAATCAATTAATTTTAATACATTTTGGCTGGTGGTCATAATTGAAAGATTAAATTTAACGCTGGAGATTGACGATTAAATTTAAGGAAAGAACCTACAAAGGTGTGGATTAAAAAAAAAACAATAAGGCGTGAATTTTTTCATATATTTTTCAGGACGAATACTATATGCCTCAAGGACGAACCCTACTGAAATTGGGAAAAATCGGTTCAGATTAATGGGTCGATTACGGATGACAACCATAGTTTAGTTGCGCTGCCAATTGCCAAATTTGCATTATGGATGGCAATTGCTGTCAACTTCAGTTGCTTCAAGTAGAATTTTTCGGCAACCATTTATTTCTGGTTGCTGTTTATAATAACTGAACTTTTTAGGTTTCCCATAATGGTTAATATTACTACAAAAGAACAATTTGAGGTCCTTATTGCCCGGATGGAAGCTCACCCATCATGTAGCACGCGCCGTGTGGACTTTTGGTCAAACCAAATCCACTATCGATGATGTGTGGAAGGCCATTTCAGAAGACCTTAACTGATATGGCCCACCAACACGCATTCCAAATGAATGGCAGAAAGTTGCGAACATCTTCTTTTGGGTCCATGATATGTACGTGTGTATTATCAATACATCCGGCAACACCCCGGAACATAGTTTTCGAATAAAAAATTTTATTCTTCCTTTTTTCCTCCTCCATTAATTTGGATACAATCAAAATTTTACACAGTTTTTTCTCTATTAGCCGGATAACATCGGCGAAAACCACCGACATTGTCGGTTGAGCCATGCCAAGGTTGAAGTCATTGCTATGGGACTTTTGAAAACTTTCCTCCACAAAAAACATCAGAGCTGCACACATTTTTAAGTGAGGAGGAATTGCTGTTGACCGCAAGGCTTTTCGGAAATCAGGTTTTAAGGCTTCATCTATGTGTACCAAAGTCCCTATTCATCTTTCGATTTGCACGAAATTTGGCATTGCGTACTGAATTGAGTCTAGAATGATGTGTGCAAAGTTTCGTGAAAATCGATTCAGATTTAGATATAGCTCCCATATAGAGTTTCGCTCGATTTTAGGTAAATAGTCCACTAAAATCCCTGTATATTTTTCTATTTGCACGAAATTTGGCACAGCGTGAAAATCGGTTCATCGGTTCCGTGGGTTCATCGGTTCAGATTTAGATATAGCTCGCGTATATATCTTCATCCGATTTAAGGTAAATGGTGTACCAAAGTCTCTATATATCTATCGATTTGCACAAAATTTGGCACAGCGTAATGAATAAGGTCTAAAATGATGTATGTTAAGTTTCGAGAAAATCGGTTCAGATTTAGATATAGCTCCCGTATATATCTTCGTCCGATTTAAGGTAAATGATGTACCAAAGTCCCTATATATTTTTCGATTTGCACGAAATTTGGCACAGCGTAATGAATAAGGTCTAAAATGATGTGTGTTAAATTTCGTAAAAATCGGTTCAGGTTTAGATAAAGCTCGCGTATATATTTTCATCCGATTTTAGGTAACTGGTGCACCAATGTCCCTGGAAATCGTTTCATTTGCACGTATTTTGGCATAGCTTACTGAATTAAGTCTAGAATGATGTGTGCAAAGTTTCGTGGAAATCGGTTCAGATTTAGATATAGCTCCCATATAGAGTTTCGCCCGATTTTAGGTAAATAGTCCACTAAAGTCCCTATATATTTATCGATTTGCACGAAATTTGGCACAGCGTGATGAATTAGGTATAGAATGATGTGTGTCAAGTTTCGTGAAGATCGGTTCAGATTTAGATATAACTCCCATATGTATTTTCATCCGATTTTAGGTAACTGGTGCACCAAAGTCCCTGAAAATCATTCGATTTGCACAAATTTCGGCATAGCGTACTGAATTTGGTCTAGAATTGTGCAAAGTTTCGTGAAAATCGTGTGCAAAGTTTCGTGAAAATCGTTTCAGATTTAGATATAGCTCCCATATATATTTTTTCGCCAGATTTTAAATAATCGGTGAACCAAAGTCCCTATATATCTTTCGATTTGCACGAATTTTGGTATAGGGTACTGAATTAAGTCTAGAATGATGTTGCTAAGCTTCGTGAAAAGATCCATCGCTAGGCCGATTGACACGACGTACTGAAGTAATATAAATTAGTCTTTGGCAAGTTTCCTTGAAATCGGTTCGGATATAGATATATAACAAACATGCGACGGCTGTTAGGATATATATGTAGAATATACCTAAAGTGGTGAAGGGTATCATATAGTAGGCCGGTCCGACTTTACTACTTTCCTTACTGATTTAAAGATTTTTTTCAAGGACCTACATAAGGCGTGGATTTGTTAAAGAATATTTTTTCAAGAACCTGCATAAGGCGTGGATTTTTTTAAGATTATTTTTTCAAGGCGTGGATTTTTTTAAAGATAATTTTTTCAAGGACCTACACAAGGCGTGGATATTTTAAAGATTTTTTTTCAAGGATCTGCATAAGGCGTGGATTTTTTAAAGAATATTTTTTCAAGGACCTACATAAGGCGTGGATATTTTAAAGATTTTTTTTTTCAAGGATCTACATAAGGCGTGGATTTTTTAAAGAATATTTTTTCAAGGACCTACATATGGCGTGGATTTTTTAAATATTATTTTTTCAAGGACCTACATAAGGCGTAGATGTTTTATAGATTATTTTTTCAAGGACCTACATAAGGCGTGAATTTTTCAAAGAATATGTTTCTAATACCAATAAAAACCTGATATTTTATTTATCATCCTTGAAAAACAATTTCTCATTTAGCGGACGAAAATAGTAACCATGCTTGGATGGCTCTCCCGGCCTGATATCCGCGTCATCAGTTAGAATTTTAGCCCCTGGCAGTGGGGAAAATTTAAACAAACGTTTACGTAATTTTGGTACATAATTCGGCAGCATATGAAGTGGAGTTTTTAGCAGCTGCGATTGGATCTCATCGGGCTTTTTCATCATTATTGGTTTATTATGTAGCCTCCTCTCGGGAGGTAGCTTCTCTTTGAGCTCCTTAACCTGTTGCGCCGTTAAGGGCAGCTGACGTTGTTCATCCTCCTTCCAACGATCGCTGCTGGAACCGAATGCTAATTTACGATTTGTACGCAATTGTTTACGTGTTATCACCTTAACCATACGATCGAATTTTATCCGTGTGGGTAGTTGGGGGAGTGGCTCCGAGCGTAGGCTACCAAGATTGTGTGGCGGATCTAATATCATATTTATATATTTGACATCGTGAAAAAGTTTTACCAATTTGGCTTTGCCTTTGGCTATATCCTCGGCAACAACTTGACGTTTTTGTGGTCCCGTGGCAGTGCGAAAAAGTCTTCGAAAGCCTCCACCGGCCACATGACGCCAATCGGGGGAACAATAAAATTGAGTTTTAAGTTTCGTATAGGGCATACGACGAAATTTATGGCGTTTTTCACGTTCCACCATAAGCTCCAAATCGGGAAGATATTTTCGTGAGCTTGGGCAGGGACATAGATTGCGATAGCGTGTCTCATAACGCCCTGGGCCGGGTAGAAAACTTATATTTGGTGGATGAATGCTATTCGGTTTCAGGGGGACAATTGATTTGCGGTAGAAGATGTGGGGATTTAGAGCCTGGAAAGATGTGCCTCGAGGCTCATACGTTTTTCCTGGTGCCTTGGGATCATATGTATTGGGTGCCGGCTCCATGGGATCTTTATAGGCCGTCAAGGGATTGGCTATCATGCACCGTGTGGTGGCCCGCTTATCTCTGGCATCTAATGAAACAATTTTTAATTTAAATAGTTTTTATTGTGGTTATCCCCATTATCCTTACTCGATAAAAATTGTCCTTTATGGCAATGACATGGTGTGACCATTTTCTCCGACTCTTTGGGTAGATCATAAAGGTGATATTTAGGTTTTTTGCTAATCCGTTTTAATGGCTTGGTTGTGGGTAATTTACGCCAATAGGCACCCTTAAGACCCGCTTTATTCGCAAACGGCTGATAATCCTGCCTATATCGATTGGGAGGTAATTGCCAGGATTTTTCTTTTCCCAAAGAAATTGACCCCTTAGGCTTTGTAGAGCACTCAGGTGGAAATCTGTTTTTCTCATTCTCAGAGAAAATATAATGATATTTGCGGAATATGAAGGTGTTTTTGTCCTGATTTTTTCCGTAACCATGTTCTGAGAGATAGAGTTCCTTCTTCTGGCCTATATAATCCCTGATTGTATTCTGCTCAAATGTCTTCCGGAAACGAACCCCTGAAAGAAGAATTTGTGAAATTTATGGGAAATTCTCAGTTTGTTATCTGTTCCTTACTGGAGGCCATAAAGAGCGGCAAATCCAGGCTATTTGCAACGAATTTTCCGCAATTAGATTCCATTTTATTCATGAAAAATATAAATGAAGGTCTCTACTAAAGAAGTCAGAGAATAAAAATGCTAGTAAGCTGTCAATTTTAAAAAATTATGTATTTCAAAATTTGTCTGCGGAACTACCAAATTTTTTCCCAAAAATCTACACCTTGTGGAGCTACCGAAAAAGTATTCTTTAAAAATCCACGCCATATGTAGGTCCTTGAAAAAATATTTTTAAACCAGTGAGCGGAGCAGTATAGTCGGACGGGGCCGACCATACGATACCCCACACAACTAACACGGAACTCGGATGTTTATTCCGATTCCCTTCATGGTGGTTTGTGTTGTAATGTTCGCCTATATTCGACTAGAAAACACACAAAACAATTAAGTTTTCGGTCCACTTCATCCAAAAATTTTAATCAGATCATCATCGAAAATTATAGGTGTTATCTTTGGCCATATTTGGATCTTCATGGAAAAATTTAAAGGAATCAGCGCTATATTTCCGCCCTCTAAGGAGGTAATGGGTTACTAAATAATATCTGAATACGTAAGCACCTGTATATATTTGCGTATAACTTCTACAGCCGAGTACATACGACAATGTAATTGGAGTCATTTTGAAGGTCAACCATTCCTCTTGGATACACTATCAACTTCGCGGATCTATATGGTTCACGAGTAAATATATACGCCATAGAATACATAGTTTGTCATTTTTCACACAAAAGTCAGGGTAAATTTGACCCGCTAAATAATGACCGATCTTTATCAATGCAGGCATGCATATTCTTTGTCCCAATCCTTTTCTCCATGTAAAATTTCGCAATGTTTGGGCCATATCTGCGCCCTCTAGAGCGACCAGAAAAACCGGAAAAATTAAATATTTGATCCATATCATCCCCTAAATATTAACCGATCTTTACCAAAAACAATAGGGGTCTTCACTGGCCAAAACCCTTCCTACAGGCAAAATTTCGTGAAGATTGGTCCATAACTGTGGTCTGTATCGTGTTTACAAATTATAATGGACGGACGGACGCACACACATGTCTAGATCGACTCAGCTAGTCGAGATATGACGATCGGTATATTTAATGGTGGGTCTAGGATAAATATTTCGTGGTGTTACTAACTCTTGAGGCTGCACAAAGCTATAATACCCTGACAATATAGTTGTATAGGCTAAAAAAAATCCACACCTTATGTAGGTCCCTTAAAAATGATTAAAAACCAGTAAGGAAAGTAATAAAGTCGGATTGGGCCGACTATATGATACCCTTCACCACTTTGGGTATATTCTACATATGTATCGTAACATATGTAGAATATATCTGAACCGATTTCAGAGACTAATTTATATTACATCAGCACGTTGTGTCAATCGGCCTAGCTATGGATCTTTTCACGAAGCTTAGCAACAACATTCTAGACTTAATTCAGTAACCTATACCAAAATTTCGTGCAGATCGAAAGATATATAGGGACTTTGGTGCACCAATTACATAAAATCGGACGAAAATATATATGGGAGGTATATCAAAATCTGAACCAATTTTCACGAAACTTAGCATACGTCATTCTAGCGTTAATTCAGTACACTATGACAAATGATTTTCAGAGATTTTGGTGCACCAATTACCTAAAATCGGATGAAAATATATATGGGAGCTATATCTAAATCTGAACCGATTGTCACGAAACTTTGCACACATCATTCTAGTATCAATTCCGTACGCTATGTCAAATTTCGTGCAAATCGAAGGATATATAGAGACTTTGGTGCAAAATTTACATAAAATCGGACGAAAATATATATGGGAGCTGTATTTAATCTGAACCGATTTCAGGAAACTTGACACACATCATTCTGGACATAATTAATTACGCTGTGACAAATTTCGTGCAGATCGAAAGATATTTAGGGACTTTGGTGCACCATTTATCTTAAATCGGACGAAAATATATATGGGAGCTATATCTAAATCTGAACCGATATTCAGGAAACTTGATACACATCATTCTGGACATAATTCATTACGCTATGCCAAATTTCGTGCAGATCGAAAGATATTTAGGGACTTTGGGGTACCATTTACCTTAAATCGGACGAAAATATATATGGGAGCTATATCTAAATCTGAACCGATTTCCAGGAAACTTGACACACATCATTCTGGACATAATTCATTACTCTATGCAAAATTTTGTGCAAATCGAAGGATATATAGAGACTTTGGTGCACCATATACCTAAAATCGAACGAAAATATATATATGGGAGCTATATCTAAATCTGGACCGATTTTAATGAAACCTAACACACATCACTACGGACTTAATTCAGTACGTTATGCCAAATTTCGTGCAGATCGAAAGATATATAGGGATAATTTACCTTAAATCGGAGGAAAATATATATGGGAGCCATATCTAAATCTGGACCGATTTCCAGAAAACTTAATACACATCATTCTAGACATAATTCGTTACCCTATGCCAAATTTCGTGCAAATCGAACGATATATAGGGACATTGGTATACCATTTACATTAAAACGAACGAAAATATATATGGGAGCTATATCTAAATCTGGACCGATTTTTCCCAATTTCAATAGGGTTTGTCCGTGGGCCAAATAAGTTATCTATGCCAAATTTCATCCAATTCAGATCATAAAGGCGACCTGTACTTTGTTTACATTTTAACATGGACAGACAGACAGACGGACGGGCATGCATAAATCGACTTAAAAAGTGATTCTATGCATATTCTAAAAAGGAACCATGTGTCTATATCGTTTCGTTTTGCCTGTTACAAACATACACACAAAGACATAATACCCTGTACCACAGTGTGGTGAAGTGTATAAAAATCCATGCCTTATGTAGGTCCTTGACACTTGTAGGTCTTTGACACTTTTTCTTGAATCCACGCCTTATATAGGGCCTTATATAAATCCACATTACCTGTAAGTCCTTAAAAATACTTTTGATAAATCCACGACTTATGAACGGCCTCGAAAAAACTATTCTTTTAAAATTCACGCCTATGCAGATACCTTGAAAAAATATTTTTTTTATTTGGTCCCTAAAATAAATCTGTTTGTCCTGCTCTTTAAAACATACCTCAAACTCCCCATCACTTCATTAATTTGCCATTGCAGTTTTGAAAATTCCCAAATGTGTACAAATAATCTGTCTATTATTTGACATGACAATGTATGACAGAACTCCACCTAGACAAAAGTGAAATAGAAACTATTCTCCCCTTACACATCCTTTTGAGAAAATGTCTTCTCTATATACCGACCTCCTTGACAGTCCTTGTACTATTTCACACATAGCCATAAGTTTCCAAGAATTGAGGAATGTCTAAGACATGGTTAGGCACATGCAGATGAGTATGTGTTTGTATGTAGTTTTCACACATTTCCTTGAAAGGTGTTATTCAAAGGACATGCAGGATTTGTCGTCATTTCGAAAGAGCAAAGTCAACAGAGCAAGTTATCAAACACGAACTTAGAGTAAGTATGAGTAGAAGTTTGTTAACTGCAGCTGTGAGAAGTGAGTACCGAAATTGTCCGTGTTTAATGAGAAAGGTTCCACTGTCCTATAGCATTTTAGAACAACAAAGGATTTTTATTTAAAACAAATAAAAATTCCTCCAAAGCCACAACACTGTCATGGTAAATGCATTATTATTCGTAGTAGAGCTTACATATGTATGCGTGTTATCCCCTCCGAACAATTGGCCTCAACAATGGCAAGGGAACAGGTAAAGTGCCTCCGCCATTCTCAGTGTTGTTGAAAAACAAACAATTGTGGTGCAGTCACAACAAAGACGCCATCAAATCGGTGGCTCCTTAAATGTCAACATGCACGATACCTCGTATACATCCTTGTAAGATGACAGCAAATCTTCTTGCGGTTGTTGTTCTTAGCGAGACAAAAGGCAACACAAATAAACTGCAAAACAATCAAACACTCACTCACACATTAACACTGAGGGAGTCACTCACACACTCATCTGTTTAGTAACTTTGGTGAAATACTGAAAAAGTCCTGAAAAAGTATTCTTTAAAAAATCCACTCCTCTTTTAGTCCTGAAAAAGTATTCTTTAAAAAATCCACCCCTCATTTAAGGTCTAAAAACATATTCTTTAGAAAATCCACGCCTCTTTTTAAACCTCAAAAATATTCTTTAGAAAATCCACGCCTCTTTTTAAACCTCAAAAATATTCTTTAGAAAATCCACGCCTCTTCTTAGACCTCAAAAATATTCTTTAAAAAATCCACGCCTCATTTAAGTCCTGAAAAAATATTCTTTAAAAAAATCCACGCCTCATTTAAGGCCTGAAAAAATATTCTTTAAAAAATTCACGCCTCTTTTGTGGGCCTCTTCTTAGACCTCAAAAATATTCTTTAAAAAATCCACGCCTCTTTTGTGGGCCTCTTCTTAGACCTCAAAAATATTCTTTAAAAAATCCACGCCTCATTTAAGTCCTGAAAAAATATTCTTTAAAAAATCCACGCCTCATTTAAGTCCTGAAAAAATATTCTTTAAAAAATCCACGCCTCATTTAAGTCCTGAAAAAATATTCTTTAAAAAATCCACGCCTCTTATAATCCTGAAAAAATATTCTTTAATAAATCCACGCTTCTTATAGTCCTGAAAAAATATTCTTTAACAAATCCACGCCTCTTATAGTCTTAAAAAAAATATTATTTAATAAATCCACGCCTCTTATAGTCCTGAAAAAATATTCTTTAAAAAATCCACGCCTCATTTAAGTCCTGAAAAAATATTCTTTAAAAAATCCACGCCTCATTTAAGTCCTGAAAAAATATTCTTTAAAAAATCCACGCCTCATTTAAGTCCTGAAAAAATATTCTTTAAAAAATCCACGCCTCATTTAAGTCCTGAAAAAATATTCTTTAAAAAAATCCACGCCTCTTTTGTGGGCCTCTTCTTAGACCTCAAAAATATTCTTTAAAAAATCCACGCCTCATTTAAGTCCTGAA